GTTTTCGGCCATAGCTGGCACATCAAGGAATTTTTCTCGTTTTAATATTGTTACATATCCCTTAGGACTACTCATTTGTAAAATTTGCAATTTGAGGCCTACAACTCAAATTAAATCAACAAAAAGTATTAAAAACTGTAGGTTCATTATTTTATTCACCCATGTGAAGCATGCCAGCGACTCGCAGTTGCCTTACTTTCTTCTCTTCGAAATGAACTTGTTTACTTAAGCATACAAAGATATCATGCATAGCTTTCATCAGTTTAAACCCATCGGTCAGCAGTTTGGTTGCATCAAACTTCTTGGCCACTTCAGTCGCTCCATACTCAACATCACTAATGTACATCCGGAATATTCCATCCATCCGATATCCCATCTTTTTACGTTCTGGCTTTCTGCGACACGTACGTGCCCTCTTTCGGTTTTTCCGCGTGGCTACCGCTACATTTGTCGATTCTTTTCTGTGAAAAAAATAAGTCATAAAGTCCAAAACTGTAACGAATTAATTATGATAATCACAAGAGACGTACCTGACAGTTTCCATTCCAATCACATTGCAGAGACCGTGATCGATGATAAGCGACCACACGTTTATGTCATACCAGGACTCGTGATGTTGCTTTTGCAGTGTTTCGTTAGGGTCTTCATAATACGTAAGACTTTCAGTAATAAATGGAGTGTATTTTAGTAAGTCTTTGTAACAATACCGCCGATAAAAGGCAAATACTCACAACTTCCTCATCACGATTTCGGCCCATTCAGCATCGTAATGTTTTACTCGATCATAAGGTTCATCCTCATTTAAAAAGGATGTTGTTTTTAAGACTCGTCTCAGATCGCTTGCTGTTTTAACCTGAAATTGGTAATAGCATCAAGTTCTGGACAAATTGAAAAAAGCTAGTTATCCTCAACTTACATCTGAAAATCGCATCATAGAATTTGCAAAAGTATGATCAACCTCTGGCAAAATTTTTACAGCACACTGTATTTCATTCCATTCTTCATTTGTAAATAACGAATTTGCTTCTTGATCATCAAGGTCGATAATCCATGAATGTAGGAGTGATTCAACTGGCTGTCGTCTACAATATTCGAAAAGGGTGTCTTCGACGCACTTTCCAGAAGCGAGAATCCACTTATGAACTACATTCATTTT